TGGCTGGAGAAGCGGTCCGTTGGGGCACGCCCGGGATCCGAACCCGGGCTGCCAGTAGCAGAGCGCCCGCACTTAACCGCTAAGCCACGGGGCCGGCCCCGCCAATAATATTCTAATGCTCTGTGGAGTGGAGGTACCATAATATACTTAGCCATTAATTTATCATAAATTATTTAACCATTCCTCTGTGGTTGGACATTTGGGTCAACCTATTATTATTACTTTTTGCTATTACAGACAAAAATGAGATGAACGGCTCTTATTTTTTTTCATCCTAGTCCCCACCTCTACATTCTGACCACCTTGAAATATTTGTCCTGGTTAAAATGATTTGTACTTTCTTGTCTCTGTAACCTTCCTTAAACTTGCTCCCTCTACTGGAGGGACTGAAACTTACATACCTTTCAAGATGCCACATACCCAGGCAGAACAGTCACTTGCCCTTTTGTGGCCCTTAGCCCATGTTGGTGCCTCCTACATACAGGGTTCTAATCACATTCACTCTACTGTAGATCAGTCCATCTCCTCCATGGATTTGTGAGCTTCCTGGAGCAGAGATGTAAGCTTGTTCATATGAGGCACTTGTTAAAATGCAGATGCCCAGGTCCCATAATAGACCAACAAAATTAGAATCTGTAGGCTTGGGACCTAGACATCTGCATTTTTACCAAGCTGCCCAGGTGATTTTTATGAACTTGAACATGTGAGGAACACTGCCCCAGTGTTCTGAGCAGTGATGGGATGCATGAGAGGGCACCCAGTATTCCCCAAAAGACAGTCTCGTGGCCCCTTTGGTGTAGATGAAGACCACAGGGAAAGAAATACTTGCTGCTCTCTCTAGCTGAGTGAACTTCTATCCTATTCTACAAAGCAATAAAGTGACAAAGACTATGATGCAAATTTTAATCAAATTATTCTATTTATTTTTGATAGGTAATTTATGTGACATGATACAAAATTTAAAAAATATAGAAAATTGTACAGTGAAAAGTCAGTCCCCTTCCCACTTCCATCCCTCAGTTCCCTAGACCCTGCCACCCCCAGAGGTAACTACCATTTTTCTGTGTGTTTTTAATAAAGGGTTTATAGTTTCAAGGAAGTGATCTACTTTAGGAGTACAGTTGTTTAGGGTAGGGATCATAGTTTTTTAATAAAAAACTTTTAATTTTGAAATAACTATAGATTCACAAAAATTTGAAAAAATAGTACAGAGCACTTCCGTGTACCCTTCATCTGGTTTCCCCCAATGGATATATTTTGTATAACTATTGTGCAACAGCAAAGCCAGAAATTTGTGTGTGTACACTTCTATGCCATCTGATTACCAGTGTAGATTCATGCAACCATCTCTATAGTCAGGATACTTTAGAACTATTCCATCTCCACTATACATATGTAATGTATCACAGTCTACTAGTGTCATCATTTTACCAGTTCAAGGGAAATGTAGAAAACTTACCTTCTTTCAAGTCCCTTTAGCCTCTCCCATTTATAGTATAATTGTCTTAAATATCTCTTCTACATACTTTGAGAACCTCATCAGACAATGTTATGCTTTTCACGTCAACTGTCAAACTTAATTTAGAAAACTCAAGAGGAGAAAGAAAGTCTTTTGTATTTACTCATATATTTATTCTTTCTTCTTAATGTTCCCAGATTCCTGCTTTTGTCATTTCTTCATTTTGAAAATCTTCTGTAAACTTTCTTTTAGAGTAGGTCTTCCAGCAACAAATTCTCTTAATTTTCTGTCTGAGAATATCTTGATTTCTCCTTCACTCCTGAGGGATATTTTTGTTTGATGTAGGAGTCTGGGTTGGCCATTCTTTTCTTTCAGCACTTGAAAATGTTACGATACTTCCTTCTGGTCTCCGTGACTTCTGGTGAGAAACCTACTGTCATTTGAATGGTTTTTCCCTGATAGGTGAGCTCTCATTTTTTTTCTCTGCTTTCAAGAATTTTTCTTTGTCTTTAGTTTTCAGAAGTTTGATTATGACATGTCTTGATGTAGATTTCTTTGAGTTTATCCTATTTGTAGTTCACTCAGCTTTTTGAGTCTGTAGATCTATGCTTTTGTCAACTTTGAGAAAATTTCAGCCCTTATTTCTTTGAATTCTTATTTAGCCTCACACTTTCTCCTCTCCTCCTGGGACTGTGATGAAATAATAGATCTTTTGTTGTAGTCTCAGGTTCTTGAGACTCTGTTATCATATTTTTACTATGTTCTCATTCTGTTGTTCCAATTGGGTAATTTCTATTGTTCTATCTGCTAATTAAGTTCCCTGATTTTTTTCTCTATCTTCTTCATTCTGCTGCTGAGGCACCTCGAGTGATTTTAAAATTTTATTTATTGTGTTTTTCAGTTCTAATATTTCCATCTGGTTCTACTTTATGTCTTTTATTTCTTTCCTGAGACTTTCTGTTTCTTTTCTGAGGCTTACTATTTTTTTCATTTGTTTGAAGCATGTTCATATCTGCTTGCTGATTATGATGTCTGCTTTAAAATCTTTTTCCGACAATCCTAACATCTGTGTCATATTGGGTTTGATGGCTGTTGATTGCTTTTCTCATTTAAGTTGAGATTTTCCTGGTTCTTGGTATAACAAGTGATTTTTGATTGCATCCTGGACATTCTGGGTATTGTGTTATGAGACTCTGGGTCTGATCTAAATCTCCTGTTTTAGCAGGCCTTTCTGACACTGCTCTGGTGGGGAAAGGGTGATCACCTTGTTACTGCCAGGTGGGAGTGGAAGTCCAGGTTTCCCACTTGGCCTCATTGACACCTGGGCGGAGGGGTGCCTCGTCACTACTGGCTGAGGTAGGAAGTTCAGGTTCCCCACTAGGCCTCTGCTGACACCACAGTGGCTGAGAGGGGAAGAGCCAATTCATTACTCTTCCTTTACTGACATCATGGGGGGCACAAGGACAAAATTTATGGCTCCCTACTGGACTTCCTCTGACACCATCCTGGAGGTGGATGGAGGAAGGGGCACCTCCTTACAGCTAGGGGTGAGGGTGGAAGTCAAGGCTCCCCACATGGCCTTTGTTGATGGGATGGGCATGGCACAGCAGGTTTTTAGTGGTGTTTGGCTGGAGTAGGGCAGTTATTGTCTGAATGTTTTTTGTCTTGCTAGTCTGCCCCTTTCCTGTTCCTTTGGCTATGGAGAGCAGGCTTTTCTTGTGGCTTTTATTGTCTTTGCCCCTTGGCATTTACAGGTTGGCAGCTTCTCCAGCATCTGGTTTAGGACATATTTGGCAAAAAGAAAACCCAGGGAACTCACTGCTGTGTTATTCCTTGGGTCCTGAGATCTCTAGGTGGTCTGCTCTCTTTTCTCGACCTTTCAGAGTCTTCTTATATTTATTTTATATGTATAGTGTGCAGAGTTTTTAGTTGCCTTTACTGAGGAGGAATAGAGATAAGTGAATCTACTCCATCTTGTGCCAGAAAGGGAAGCAATCATGCATTTTTGATTTATTTTGACTCCAATTTGTAGGTGAGAGCTTGGGAAAGACTTTGATCTTTCAAAAGAAAACAATTATTTTTCATTTTGTTCTTTTTCATTCTACCTGCTTTTCCTAAAGCCACTTTTCTTTACGTTAATCCACATACCTGCCTCAGCTCTTGTCTGCATATTCTGTGTTTGGGGACCTAGTGAGGAGTCCTAGGGGCTGGGACAGGGTGAGAGATATGATTATGGAGGGACCCAACACTAGATTGAGAACTTTAAACTTTTGTCTCTGGGGAACAATTTTAAGTGTTTAATCCTCATTGATGATAACTAGGTGATTTGTCCAAAACATAGAGTGAATGTGACGTGAGGAGGCAGAAGAGTTACTGGAAGCTGGGGCAGGGTGGAACCTCGGTGTGCTGAGCTGTGCAGATGACTAGCAGAGACCAGTGAAGCAGGGCCATCCCCTGGGGCTCATCTCCAGGGGCCACCTCCAGCTCATCCACTTGCTTCTAGGTAGAAGCAGCAGGAAAGGTTCTCCTCAAGTTTATTGAACCAACATTTGTTGCACATCTACTGTGTTCAAGACCCTGTAGGGTTAGATAAAAAGACATCTGAGACGTGATCCTTGCCCTCAAAAAGCATGTGGTATAGAAGCTTCCCCCTTGTGGATTCTTTTCTGCTACTATTTACCCGCTTACAGGACCAGACCCTACAAGGCCTTTCAGAGTCTCCCAGGTGATTTTACCAGGGAGAGGGAATATTAAACCACCTCCCAAAACCAAACAGAACAGAGAGAACATGCGTCACATACATAGTTGGACACCCTGCAGTCTGAGCTAGCTCCGGGAGCAAGCATTAACCTGACTTCTGGGACAGTGCAACGTGTGCCCAGGTGACCTGCCAGTCATTGGGTGGCTGCCATGGCAAACTCCACACACCTGACGCTGCTCAGGGAGAAGCCAGACAGCTTGTGACAGCTTTTCCTGCTGAAGAACATCTGGCTCAGCAGGCAGGGTGTCATATATCCAGCCAGCGGAGACGAAGCTCAGTTGATTCTGATCCTTAGCGTCCCTGGGCACTGACGCACTCAGCCCCGCAGGAAGGGCAGAGCCAGAGGCAGAGGATGATGCTCAGGAGAAATGTCTCCAAAGTCCTCTGCCTTGGGCTGACTCTCGTCATTGCCGTCAATCTATTCCTGGTATTTTATACCAAGGGGACTTTACAAAAGTTGATTCTGGGTAGTATCCAAAAGGAACTTCACTTGCCTCTGTCTGAATGGAACGGGGCAGTGATCAAGAGACTCTCTCACCTGGAGGTGGATTTGCAGCATCTGAGTAAGTTCATAACACTGACTTGGAGGGTATGGTGTGTGTGTATGTGTGTGTGTGTGCGTGTGTGTTTAGGGACTCAGAAAAAAGCAATGTAGAGGAAAAAATGAGTGAGAGGTCACGTTCTTATCTCTCACTTGCTTCATTTAAGCATCTGGCCTTGAATTCTATGCCTCCAAATGGGAGGTAAGTATTGAGAACTAGTGGGAATCAGAGCAAGCAGTTGAGGGGAGGGTAGCAGAGTGTGTCTATGTAAGTGGTGTGAATGTGTGTGTCTACACTTGTACACCTGCATGATCACAAGTACATACATGCAGGCAGGGAGACTGAGGCTCAGAATAAGAACCCCTGAGAGGCTCAGGAGTATCTAGGCTTAGCCGTGTCCTTAGGCCTTTGTGTGGCAGGGGCTGTTAAACAGAAGTGACAACCTCTGGGGCAAAGGCCTCGCTTCCATTTTGCTATGAGCTCCTATCTAATGCGGGCCTGTTAGAGGACCTCAGATGGAATCCTGATACGACTATGATGGTGGTGTGACTTGGAGCAGGTGCTTATCTCTCTCAGCCTCAGGCTCCTGACCTCACACAGTGGGGGTTGTGAAATATATGCAGAAAGTGCTCTATAAACTGATGTGTACCTCATTTTAACCTCTTTTTTTATTGGGGTATAATTGACGTATAACATTGTATTAGTTTCAGGTGTACAATGTAATGATTCAATATTTGTATACATTGTTAAACGATCACCACAGTAAGTCTAGTTAACATCAGTCATCATACAGAGTTACATTTTTTTTCCTTGTGATGAGAACTTTTAAGATCTACTCTCTTAGCAACTTTCAAATATGCAATAGATATTATTAACTATAGTCACTATGCTGTGCATTACATCCCCATGACTTATTTATTTATAACTGGAAGTTCGTATCTTTTGACCTCCTTCACCCATTTCACCCACCCCTCCACACCTGTCCCTGGCCATGACCAAGCTGTTCTCTGTATCTTTGAGATCGGTTTTTCTTTCTGTTATTTCAGATTCCACATGCAGGTGAGATCAAAGGGTATTTGTCTCTCTCTGTCTGCCTTATTTCACTTAGTATAATACCCTCAAAGTCCAGCAAATTTTAACCTGTTTACACAAATTTTGGGGTTTGTTTTTGATTCCAGCTCACCATGAAACTCTAACCCCTATGAATTTTATGTGTCTCAGCATCTGACTCCGGTGAGGGGAAGCAGCCATGTTTCCCCTGCTCCCATGCCTCTGAACTGCGGTATTGAAAGTGTGAGCAGGGCAGTGACTGCACAGATGTGCAGGTGTGTGTACACGGGGGCTGGAGGTGGGGAAAGTGTCTTTTAAAACGAGAGCTGAGGGCCGGCCCCGTGGCTTAGCGGTTAAGTGCGTGCTCCGCTACTGGTGGCCCGGGTTCGGATCCCGGGCATGCACCGATGCACTGCTTCTCCGGCCATGCTGAGGCCACGTCCCACATACAGCAACTAGCAGGATGTGCAACTATGACATGCAACTATCTACTGGGGCTTTGGGGGGAAAAAAAAGGAGGAGGATTGGCAATAGATGTTAGCTCAGAGCCGGTCTTCCTCAGCAAAAAGAGGAGGATTGGCATCTGTGTTAGCTCAGGGGTGATATTCCTCACAAAAAAAAAAAAAAAAATGAGAGCTGAGCATTGTCAGGGTTCAGGGTGAGGCAGAGGGATAGAAGGAAGGACAGACAGGAGGAGAAAAAGGAAGAGAGGAAACCAGGAAAAGGGAGAGAAAGAGGGGATGACATGGGGCCAAAGAGATGAGGACAGAAAAGGAGCAAAGAAGTGAGTCCAGGGCAAGAGAATGAAAGAGTTTATATGGTGACAAGAGGAAGAAAGGGGAAATGAGATGAGGAAGGGAGAGGAGGCATAAGCACCACAGCACCATCTACATCCTCCCGCATAAGAGTCAGCATATTTTATTGTGGTACCACTTTCTGGAAGGTAAGTTTCATAAGGGCTGGTTTCAAGAGTGTCTTAGAGAGTGCCTTCCCACTCTATTCCCTGTGCCTGGCACTTAGAGATTAAGTGGATGAATAAATGAATGAATGAGTGTAGGAAGGAGAGGACAGAGGACAGGCAGATAGGGATGCAGGGAAGAGTGACACAGGGCAAGGAGGGTAGATGAAACAGAGAGAAGATTGTCAGCTGCAGAAGCCCTGGCTTTGAGGACATCCGGCTGGTTGGGACATTGGCTATGCAAATACGCTCAGTCAGTGCAGGTTCACTGAGGATGCCTGTGTACCTGGGCAGTCGCTGTCACTCCTTGGCAGAGCACCCAGACCACACCAGCTCTCTGGTCATCCTACCAGCTTACCCTGCTCAGGCCTTGAAATAGCAGGTGTTCTGCCTAAAGCCCGGCTATTCTTTCCTTCAGCTGGGACAGAATATGCCTCTAGAAGCCATCCAGAGCCATTGGGTTTACTTCCCTTTCCTTCTTTGCAATGACCAGTTCCTCCTTTTCTCTTTTATTCTCAGTGCTCCCACATTTTATTCACTCTAAAATGATGTGGTGTTAGGGACCACCTACTACCTGAGATCAATTTCAAAATGTCTTCTGGAGGCTGCTTCCAGATCACAAATGCTCTTCTTTCCTGAAGGGCTTCCTGAAATTGAAAGCCTGTTCAGTTACCAATCATCCTGGTTGCTCATTGCCTTCAAAAAGATTGAAGAAAATCCTAAGTCAACAAGGATACCAAGGCATATTAGGTAAACTATCGAGAGAAAAAGCAAACATATAACGATAATTGTGGGAGTGGTTGATGGCTCTAAACCAATTTTCTGGAACCTCCCTAGGGGTACTTAAAGGCACCACCAGAGCAACGCCATTCTTGTGTCCCCTTGGTCTTGGAAAGTTTCAATGTAAGTCATGGGGATGGACTAATGACACTGTTTTCATCCTGCTGGACTCTGCACTTACATCCTGAAATTGACTTTAGGGTGTCCAGGTCCAAATGACTTCCCACTGACAGCAGTGAATGAGAGAGAAAAATCAGAGATGCCCGAAGAGGAACATGGGGGAGTTTAAGGGCACAGAGAACCCGGGACCACCCTGTGACCCCCATACGCTTAGTACAGAAGAGTTTGATTAAAAATACTATTCAATTTGGAATACTGTAAAAGTTCTGCTCTCTTTTATTTTCCACCAGAGCAAATGTGCATGGTATTCACATAGTCTTCTTTGAAAGACTCACCATTTATTTTTCTTTCCGAGTTTGCTTTGGCCTTCTCTTTTTGCCTTAAGCATTTCCATAGTTGGTTGTCCTCCTGGGGCCAGTTTTATGCCCCCTTCCAAACATGGCCTCCTCCCAGTTGCAGGACTTTACTGCTTCCCTTTTAGGGACTGTACGTGTAGCTGAAATTCAGCCCATGTTCTGCTCACCAGCCATGTGCTGTGGCCTGGGCTGCTTCTGCCCAGAGGAAACACAATGGGACTGTCCCCTCACCAAGATGGTGCCCCTGGGCTGTAATCACCCGAAAAGGGGTTTTTTCTTCTAACTTGCAAGAAGCTACTAGATGGGCTAGAGGCGATCCTATCAGTCTGTTGGAATCTAGTGTGAGTTTAGGAGAGGATTAGTGGGGACTAAGTGGGTCCTATGGTAGAGTGCCTTGATTACCATTTTGGGCTTTAAGGCTGAAGAGTGTCATAATCAATGTTGGGGGGCTTGGGAAATATTAATTGGCTCTAGGTTTGGTCCAACTGAAGACAAAGGAGAGAGTTGGAAGGCTATTGTAATAGCCCTTTACCCTACTAGGAAAACCTGGCTGCCCTCTTTCCTCTGTTGACATTTCTTCTATTCATCCCTGACAAGTTTTCTCACTCATTACAGGCTTTATAATGGCTCCTCGTTCACAGTCTTCATCTCTGCCCCAAATCCTGCTATCACCCTGGGACACTGCAGTGTCTTGTGGATGACCCATTCAATTCCTTGGGCTTCCCACCTGTCAAGACCTTTGCCTCCATCCCACCTGACACTTCTATGGTGCACACTGGACTTTGTCATCACCCAAAACTGCTCACCTCTGAAATGACAAATTCATGCCATCCATTCCTGATCACATCCTCACGACTCTGCAGCATACTCATTCAATTTTCCTTCATAACAGTACCATTTCTTCAACTCTCCTCTTGCTACTATCCACAACTCTGTTGTGTTACTGAGCAACAGGCTCATTCTGCTTCCTGTAAGACTAGCCAAAAAGTCTGGAGGCGGATCAGTGGAATAGAAAAGGTTTATTTGTTTTTGCCAGCAAAGACAGAAGATGGTGGACTAGTGTCCTTAAAGCCCATCTTACAGAACAAAGACTACAGGCCAGTTATATAGGGGCTGGTCTCCAGGTGGGGCAGACATCTGGTCTCTGGTTGGGGCAGATATCTAGTCTTTGTTCCTGATAATCTTTTGTTTTTCCTCCCTTGTGACTGATGTTTCTGTTTTGGAGAGTGGATATGCGTTAGAGACTGGAGCAATGTCCTATACCTTGATTCAGGTTAAAGATAAAAAGAACAAAATCTTTTAAATATTTCTGTTTATGTGAGTGGTGCACACTTGCTGTGTTGCATCCTCCTAAGAACCCCCCCAACATCATGTGAAATCAGTTGCCCATCTTCTCTGTGCCTTCACCCAAGTGCTAAGCACTACTGAAAAAATTCCATAACTGAATCACTACAAATTCATGGTCATTTTCCTCAGCTGGCCCTCTCCCACCCCCACAGTGTGTCCATGTTTTACAAATCAGTTCTCACTCCCATTTCTTATCATAACAGTTTAAAAAGTTTTCCTCTTTTCTCAATACCCTTCTTCATCTCTCCCCACCCCTCCCAGCAGAGGAAACAGAGAAACCAGAATAAGAGCCAAACTTGATTGTGTGTCAGTCCCTTTCCTAAGCATATGATATGTATTAATTCACTTAGTTATCACAGAAACCCCCTGGAGTACTTGGTAAATCTAAGGCACTGAGAAGAGAAATCCTCTGGCCAAGGTGGTGCAGTTAGGAAGGGGAAGGGCAGCCTGGCTAAGGAGCCTGGACTTTTCACATCTCTGTGGGAATACAAGTTGTCAGATAGGATCAGCCTGTCTTGTTGCCATCGTACCCAGGAAGCAGCCAGAGTAAATGCTTAATAATTCTTTGGTGAATGAATAGTCCAGATAAGAGTCAATAAGGAATTGAACTGGAATAGAATGGAAAGAAAAGGATGAGATCTACCCTGGTGAGATAGACCCTACACGAATAGACAACTGAATGGAGGTTAGGGACAGAGAGTCAAAGGAGACCTGAGGTTTGGGGGCTGGGTAGGTGGGAGAAGAGTAGTTGGTACTATTTGTAGAAATAGGGAAGGAGCCTCAGGAGACTTGGAGGGGAAGGTGTTGTGTTCAGTTGTTAAGGAATTTGGAGAACTTGGAAAACAGCAAAATGAGAGATATCTCCAATAGCCAATTTGGACAGTGTCGACATAAATAATCCATAATCAATCTATAAATCAAAATTGGGGTGATTTTATTATGAGCCAACTTTTGAAGACCATAGCCCAGGGCCTTCCTTCCTCAAGGAAAGAAGGACACCAAAGAAGTGGGGTGTACAGAGTGGTTACATACCATCAAAGAGCATGTATCACATATGATTGCAATGTCCCTTTTACAATAGCCACAAGATCACCCTGCCAGATTGTCCTGCCAGAATAGCTATTGATGGACACAGCTGGTAGCAGGTCTGCTGTCTTGATGGGCATGGCTGGTGGCAGGTCTGTTGTCTCGAGTTGGGTGGTCACAGGATGAGCTCAGCAATCAAGTCCTATCCTAGGGAGAAATGCTTATCTTCAAGGAAATGCCAGTGCAGGGGAAGTTGAATCCTTATCTTAGGGCATTTATTCTTTTCTTTGGAACATGTTAATTGCTTAAAGCAGATATGCAGTGAATGTTCAGAGGCCGCAGGCCCCATTTTGGAAAAACAAGGTCAGGCCGAATTAGTTTTACACCAAATGGCTTCCTCATATGTTCCAATATATCCTATTGCTTGCCATTTATTTATCAACAGTAATAACGGTGATGATGATAACTAACATTGACTGAGTATTAAGTGACAGACACACTTTTAAATGCTTTATGTGAACAAACCCATTTAATTCTCCCAAAAATCTATGTGGCAAGTGCTGCTATGGTCCCCGTTTTATAGATGGGGAAACGGAGAGGATAAGATACTTTGCCGAGGTCCTGCAACTGGTAAGTGACAGAGGTGAGATTCAAATTCAGGCAGTCTGAGTCTAGAGCCACAGATTGTGTGTGTCAGGGGGTGACAGTTGCCTAGAGGGGAAAGGAATCGATGAGATCATCAGGAGAAGAGAGGACAGAGGACATGAGAGGGGTGCCTATGTTTGGGGGACAGGGCAGAGGAGCTTGCTGGAGTCTGTCTGTAATTCTGTAATGCAGAACGTACTCGGGCCGGCCCCGCGGCTTAGCGGTTAAGTGTGCGCGCTCCGCTGCTGGCGGCCTGGGTTGGGATCCCAGGCGCGCATGAACGCTCTGCTTCTCTGGCCATGCTGAGGCCACATCCCACACGCAGCAACTAGAAGGATGTGCAGCTATGACATACAACTATCTACTGGGGCTTTGGGGGAAAAAAAGTAAAATAAAATTATAAAAAAAAAAAAAAAGAAAAGAACGTACTCGCTGAGAGAGAATTGATAGCAGCAGAGCCAAGGCAAGCTGAGGGGAATCTAGCTGGGGACAAGTGGCAGTGGCAGCCAGAGGCAGAGTCAGGTAAAACTGTTTTCTCTTCCTTCTGTTGACAATATTCCCAGCTGTACGGTCATGTGCCCAGGCTCCAAGATGGAGCCGTATCATGGGCCTTGTATCAGGAGACAAGGCCACTGGTTTTGATGGCACTGAGGGGAAGATATATTTAATACCAGAATCAGACTTAGCTAAGCTGAATCATCCTGTGAGAGACAAACAGATTCTCCTGCTTCCTTTGGGTAGGATAATGGTAAGTCCTGGTTGGCCTGGAATAGTCCTGGTTTACTCCTGTTGTCCTGGTCACATCTGTTGCATAATTATTAATAGTGCCCCATCCACTCTGAAAAGTGTCCCAATTTGATGGATAAATTATATGTTCAGCCCTAACTTAGAGGCATTGGGTCTTTGAGTGGATTGGCAGGCAGAAGCACCTGCACTAAATAATTACATTTTTTTCTCTTTCTCTGTGGAGTTCACAGAATTGAGTTTGAGGGAGTTCAAGGTACATATGCTGAGACTCTCCAAGTAGAAATAGTAGAGGGTTGTTGTAAAGGTGAAGTAAATAATGGATGGGAAAGTGCTCTGAAATTTGTAGGCCATTTTCCAAAATCATTACTATTGATGTCATGGATCCTGGAAGACCTCCTCTGCATAAAAGTGTCCTCTGCCTGGGTCTGTCACTCTTCATTCTTTTTTAGTTAAGGCAGTGTTTCTCAAATTAATATGACCAAATTAGAGTATCATCTGGAGCAATTGTTACAAATGCAAATTCCCAGGCTCCACCATAGACCTACTGAATCGGAATCTCTGGGGGAGTCCTGGGATTCTGTATTTTTAGCAAACTTTTGAAGACATTCTTATGATCAAGCAAATTGGAAAAAGATTAGGACATCTCCAATTTAAAAGTTCCTGGTAAACCAAATACATGAAAAGTGACGGGACAGGAGGTGGTGGGTGGAGTAGATTCACTCTTGTTAGCCACTGATAGTGTAGGATGATGTTTCTTAAATTTTATTGTACAAAAGAATTACTGCTTGATTTTGTGAAAAATGCAGCTTCTGGTAACTTCTCCTACCCCTATCCCCACCTGACCTTGAGATTCTGATTTAGTTGATTTGAGGATAAGCCTGGATATCTACATTTTTAAATAATCATAATAGATGATTCTGATGTAAGTGGTTCTTGGGGCTTATTCTGAAAAACATTAGGTTATTATCAATCTATTTCTCAGATCGCAGTTCCTAGAGGATCCTCGAAGGTGTGGGACTCTGGGTAGATAAGTTCTGATGGGGCTGAGAGGAGAGGTGTGTTCTAGTGCATGCCTTGTCAGGACAGCCTAGCATGGCTCTGACAAGTTCCTGTGACATATCACAGACTCTGGGACAAGAGCTTGTAGATTTTAGAATTTGGAGAGAGAACATTTCAAGGAAGTTTGGATGTAAACAATACCCAGGTAACTAAGGGCTGGCTGAAATGTTTTCTCCCCTGTTCTTCATTTGCAGAAGAAAGTCTGAAAGAAGAAAGGATGAAAGATAGAGAACATCCTGTTCAAAAGGCAGTGGAGTCCAAGGCGAATGAGACAAAGAAGGACAAACCCCAAAAAGCGCTCTTCCCAGACTCACAGCTTTTCAAGAGGTGGGGCGAGGGTCTTTCAGAGGCCCAGCAGAAAGAGGCCCAGGACCTCTTCCAGAAGTTTGGTTACAATGTTTACCTCAGTAACCAATTGCCCCTCGATCGCGCCATCCCAGACACGCGAGATTCCAGGTAGGATGGACCAAGTTTGGGCTTCCTAGGGACGTCAGTTTAATTTGAGGATGAGCTTTGGGAGCAGCAAAAATCAAGGGTTGGAGAGAGAGTTGGGGGAGTGGGAAATTGCTGGGGAAGGGGTTCAGGGCATAGAAAGTTCTGGCAGGCTGACTGAGCAAGAGTTCTTGTTTTTAATTCATTTTATAATGGCAGGTCCAAGAAGATAACTGACTGATTCAAATATTTACAGTCCCTTGGAGATGGGCAGAGATGTCAGAAAAACACAGACCTTTGAGACTTCTGATAGGATGGATCTAACTCATAATTCTCCAGATGAGTAAACTGAGGATGAGAAATAGAAAGGACTTGTGCAAGTCAAACCAAAGTTAATAACTCTACTTCCTCCCCAGTGTTTCCCTCAAATTCTCTGCTGGATTCCTCTCTGTTATTAATTCTAATTTAACGAGCCTTCCCTCTCTTTCTCCTTCTGTTTCCCCTGCCCATCACTTCTCCCACTCTTCTTCATAAGGTTTTTGAATAACAACTTTGCTGAGATATAATTCACATACCATACAATTCGTCCATTTAAAATGTACAATATAATCTTTTTTAGTATATTCACAGTGTTTTGCACAATCACCATAATCAATTTTAAAACATTTTCATCCCTTCAAAAAGAAACCCCAGGCTCATTAAGCCACTCCCCATTTGCCCACAACTTCCTCATCCCTAGGCAGTCACTAATCTACTTTCTGTCCCTATGGATTTGCTTATTTTGGATCTTTCATATAAATGGAATCATATAATATGGGGTCTTTTGCACTGGCTTTTCTCATTTAGCATAATGTTTTTAAGTGCCATTCATATTACAGCATGTATCAATACTTCATTCCTTTTATTGTTAAATAATATTCCATCATATGGATATACCACATTTTATTTATCTATTCATCGTTGATGGACATTTGGATTGTTTCTACTTTTTGACTATTATGAATAATGCTGTTATGAACATTCATGTATAAGTTTTTGTGTAGATTTATGTCTTCATTTTTCTTGGTTATATTCTAGGAGTAGAATTGTTGGGTCATACGATAACTCTACGTTTAATCTTTCAAGGAACTGCCAGACTGTTTTCCAAAGTGACTGCATCGTTTTACATTCCCTTCAGCAGTGTATGAGAGTCCTGATTTTTCCACAGCCCCCCACCAACATTTGTTATTGTTTGTCTTTTGATAATAGCCGTCCTAGTGGGTGTAAAGTGGTATACCATTGTGGTTTTGATTTAAATTTCCCTGATGTCTAATATTGCTGAACATCTTTTCATGTGCTTATTGGCCATTTGTATATCCTTTTTGAAGAAATGTCTATTCAGAGACTTTCTTCATTTTAAAATTGGGTTATTTGTCTTTTTATTATTGAGTTGCAAGAGTGCTTTATATATTTTAGATACAAGTTCCTATCAGACATATGATTTGCGAATGTCTTCTCTTATTGTATGGGTTGTCTTTTCACTTTCTTGATGGTCTTCTTTGAGTACCAAAGTTTTTAATTTTGATGACGTCCAATTTATCTATTTTTTCTTTGGTTGCTTGTGCTTTTGGTGTCATATCTAAGAAAAAATTGCTTAATGCAAGGTCATGAAGACTTATGTCTATGTTTTCTTCTAAGAGTTTTATAGTTTTACTCTTACATTTAGGTCTTTGGTCCATTTTAAATTAATTTTTGTGCATGCTGTGACATAGTGGTCCTACTTTATTCTTTTGCATGTGACTATCTAGTTGTTCTAGCACCTATTGTTGAAGAGACTACTCTTTCCACGTTGAATTGTCTTGGTACACTTATCAAAATCAGTTGGCCATAAATGTAAGGGTTTATTTCTAGATATCAATTCTATTCTATTGATTTGTAGGTCTATCCTTATGCCAGTAACTCACTATCTTGATAACTGTAGCTTTAGTAAGTTTTGAAATCAAGAAGTGTGAGTCTTTTAACCTTCTTCTTTTTAAGATCATTTTGGCTATTCTGGGACCTTGAATTATTTGTTTATTTATTTATTTTTGTGAGGAAGATTAGCTAACATCCAAAGCCAATCCTCCTCTTTTTGCTGAGGAAGATTGGACCTGAGCTAACATCCGTGCCCATCTTCCTCTACTTTATATGGGACGCTGCCACAGCATGGCTTGACAAGTGGTGCATTGGTGCACGCCCAGCATCTGAACCTGCGAACCCCAGGCTGCCGCAGCGGAGCACACGCACTTAACCACTGCGCCACCGGGCTGGCCCCATGGGAAGTTGAATTTTTATATGAATTTGAGGATTAGCTTGGCAGTTTCTGCAAAGAAACCAGAAAGATTTTAATAGGGATTGCATTGAATCTGTAGATCAATTTAGGGAGTATTGCCATTTTAACAATTAAGTCTTCCAATCGATGAATGTGGGAAATCTTTCCTTTTACTTAGGTCTTCCTTAATTTCTTTCAGCAATGTTTTGAGTTTTCAGAGTATACATTTTGCACTTCTTTGGTTAAATTTATTCCTAAGTATTTATCTTTTTGATGCTATTGGAAGTGAAATTGTTTTCTTAATTTTGTTTCAAATTTCAAATTTTTCATTGCAAGTCTACAGAAACACAATTGATTTTTGTATATTGATCTTACTATCCTGTAACCTTGCTGTATTCATTTATTTTTTTTAATAGTTTTTAAGGGATATTTTAGGATTTTATATATATGATTATGTCATCTGCAAATAGAGAGAGCTGCACTTCTTTTTCAACATGATGCCTTTTACTTCACTTTCTTGCTAATTGCTCGGCTAGAACCTGAATAGAAGTGGTAAGAGAGGACATCCTTGTTTTGTCCTTCATTATACAGGGAAAGCATATAACATTTTACCATTAAGTATGATGTTAGCTGTGGGTTTTTGTAGATGCCCTGTACTACAAATTCTATTCTATCCTAGCTTGTTTAGTGCCTTCTTTTTCTTTCTTTCTTTCCTTTTTTTTTTTTTATCATGAAAGGTTGTTATATTTTGTTAAATGCTTTTTCTGTGTCTATTGAGATGATCATGTGGTTTTTGTCTGTTATCTATTAATATGGTGTATTACATTACTTGATTTTAGGATGTCAAATGAACCTCACATTCATGTCATAAATACTGCTTGGTCACGGTATATAATTCTTTCTATGTGTTGCTGGATTTGGTTTGTTAGTATTTTGTTGAGGATTTTTGTGTCTGTATTCATAAAATATATTGTTTGTAGTTTTCTTTCCTTGTTATAGTTTTGTCTGGTTTTATATCTGGGCAATACTGGCCTCGTAGAATGAGTTGGGAAGTGTTTAGTTCTCTGCTATATTTTGGAAGAGTTTGTGAAGAATTGGTATTAATTCCTCTTTAAATACTCTGTAGAATTCACCAGTGAAGCCACCTTCTTCCTAGACCTTTTTTGATAGGGAATTTTTGATTACTAATTCAGTCTTTTTGCTTGATGTAGATCTATACAGATTTCTGTTTATTCTTCAGTCAATTTTGATCATTTGTGTCTTTCTAGGAATTTGTCCATTTCATCTGTTTTCTAATTTGTTGGTGGACAGTTGTTTATAGTATTCCATGATAATCTTTTTTACTTCCGTATGGTCAGTGGTGATGTCCCACTTTTGCTCCTGATTTTCGTAATTTTAGTATTCTTTATTATTTTTCTTGACCAGTCTAGCTAGACTGAGGCAATTGAGGCTTGCCTTGTTTCCCAACATATGGTCTATCCTTGAGAATGTTCCATGTGCACTTGAGAAGAATGTGTATTCTGCTGTATATGGGTGGAGTGTTCTATCTATAGCTAAGTCCATCTGGTCTAGTTTTTCGTTTAAATCTGCTATTTCCTTGTTGACTTTCTGTCTGGATGATCTGTCCATTGATGTCAGTGAGGTGTTAAGGTCCCCTACTATGATTGTGTTGTTGTTAATATCTCCTTTTAGGTTTGTTAATAGTTGCTTTATGTACTTTGGTGCTCCTGTGTTGGGTGTATATATATTTATAAGTGATATGTCTTCTTGGTGGAGTGTCCCTTTTATCATTTATATACTGCCCCTTTTTGTCTCTCACTACCTGTTTTATCTTGAAATCTGCTTTGTCTGATATAAGTATGGCAGCACCTGCTTTCTTTTGTTTGCCATTAGCTTGGTGTATCATCTTCCATCCCTTCACTCTGAGCCCATGTTTGTCTTTAGAGCTGAGATGTATTTCCTGGAGGCAGCATATTGTTGGATCTTCTTTTTTAATCCGTCCATCTACTCTGTGTCTTTTGATTGGAGAATTCAATACTTTTACATTTAGAGTTATTATTGATATATGAGGGCTTAATGCTGCCATTTTATCACTCATTTTCTGGTTCTTATGAATTTCCTTTGTTTCTCTTCCCATGTATTTCAGACTACCAATTCAGTTTGGTAGTTCTTTATGATGGTTTTCTTAGTTTTCTTTTTATCATTTTTGTCTCTGTTCTGATTATTTGTTTAGTGGTTACCGTGAGGTCTGTATAAAAAATCTTGTAGATGAGGTAGTCCATTTTCTTATGGCCTCTTATTTCCTTAGACTAAGTCGATTCCATCCGTTTCCTCTTCCCCTTCTAAGTTATTATTGTCATAACTTATTCTATCTTGTGTTGTGAGTTCATGGTTAAAATAACGAGATTATATTTAATTTTGGTGTTTCCTTTCCCTTTATCTTTGATGTTATAATTAAGTGTTTGCTAAGCTGTTCTGATAGAGAGCTGCAATTTTTCTGTTTTTGTGTACCTATTTTTCTCTTTGCTCAAGGCTTTGTAACCCCTTTCTTTCTTTTTTTTTTCAGTTATGAGGATTTTCTTGAGTGTTTCTTATAGGGGAGGTCTTGTGGTGATGAACTCCCTTAGCTTTCGTTTATCTGGGAAAGTTTTTATTTCTCCATCATATCTGAAGGATATTTTCACTGGATAGAGTATTCTTGGCTAAAAGATTTTGTCTTTCAGAATTTTGAATA